CTCAGGAATGCAGAAGTCCCTTGCAGGTTTGTTCTTGTCTTCTGAATGTGTGTGTCTCTGTATTCTCTCTGACAAATCCAGCTAGGAAGTGGTCCTCTGATTGTCCAGGCATGGTTCCAACATGGTCATAGAAAAACAATAGAGCACAACCCAGCATGACAGATACATACAATAACATGCCATGTTTTCCAAGGTATATGTTTGGTCTTGTAGCTCCTCAACATGAACCGGGTGATTATTTGTCATACTGTGGATTAAATAGTACTGCATGTACATAAATACATTAATAACACACATTGAAGGCAGTGTGCCTCCCAAGTCAAGAAGACAATGGATAGGTGTGGAGCTAATTACTTAGACATTCTGGAAAGGTGGCTGCAGTCTAGTCATGGACATACTCAACTGAACTGCTTCCTCTGCATGCGCTCTGGCTGCCTACACTACATCCCCAACTCAACACACTCCGTTCACCCATCCCTACTCCTTACCTCCCTCCTCAATGGGGTGCTTCTCAATAAATTGACCTGGCTAGCTTTCTTTGCATCCTTTCCTTCGTCTACTCTGGTCTGAAACCAAAGGTAGTGTAGAGGAAAGCAATATGGTGGGGGCCAACAGGGACACATGCTTTCACTTGGCAATCCTTCAGCATGAAAGGAGACTAGGAAAGGAAGCCATTTTAGACTGTTGAGAGGCAGTAATGGGCTCCACTTTACACCACTCCACCTCACCCTGTCCTCTCTTTTTCTTCACCTCCCTTCTTCACCTTCATGATCTCACTACCTCGTACACACTCTGATCTCACCTGTACCTCACACCGTGCATACCATACTAGTCTACAGCCTACTAGACACAGCAACCTACCGATCACTACCTCAACTATACAGACTCATCTCACTCTCACTACGTCTATTCTCTTTCATCCTTTCTCACTCTTCCTCATTTCCTACCTCCATGCTTCCTTTCCTCCACTTCTCCTCTCCTCCTCTTCTTCTCCTCTGCAACCCTCACCCAGCCTCTCCTCTCTCTTCCTCTTCCTCTTCTCCTCCTCTTCCTCACCCTATCTCCCTCTGCCTTGTGTGTCTCCTCAGTCAGCTCGTTTCTAAAAAGCGGGGTCTCTTCCGGATTCACGCTGGCCGCAAGCAGCAGAGGTATCCACGGTGACAAGCCTGTGCACGGGGCATGTCAGCACCCCCCACCCCCCCATCCACCTTTCTCACTTTGCCTGAGGGTCCCAAAGCCTTCTGGCCCAGTGCAGTGTGTGTGTGTCTCTGTAAATGTTCTCCTTTGAGTAAGAAGGTGGTTTTAGTCTCTTCATTGAGCATTGTGTGAAGACACTTGCCATTGCCGATGGTACTCAGGCTAGAAATGGCTGACATTTGGTATATTTGACATAAATTGCACTGATATTCACATTTTGTAATTGATCTTTGAGAATAGGAAACACACTGCTCTGGTGTAGAAATCTTTGACTGAGCTTTTACTGTGTGAGAGAATGATGGGGTGTTCTGTTCAGAGGACAACTCTGTTAACTATTACCAGTTGTCTTGCCTGGTTTTGCATTGTTTTTAGTGAACTGGAGGACACAATAAACCATGCGTTGTTTATTGGAGAACAAAGGAATTCTTAGGAATGTTTAATGGTTTATGTGGATCTAATGTCAGCATTGGTCTTCTCTCACACTCTTACCATTTTTTTTTATAACATATTTGATATTTTGGACAGAAGGTTGTTCCAAATCTTTTGTTTAAATGAAACGGTCAAATATTTGGAAGGTCACGCATGCTGCATGACCGTTAATTGTTAAGTGCACATTTTTCATGCATGCTTTCTTTGATTAATTCTGCTCTGTAGTCATTTCTGGAGAGAGGATTTGAATGGTCCTCCATACAATGCAATCACATGCGTGTAAATGTACATTTGCAAATCTTATCCACTTAATAAAAACCCATGCAGAAACATTTCCCTAATAGAGTTTTCCCTTTCGTCTGCTAAAATGTTTATCTTATACTTGCTCAGTATACCATGCATGTCTTTGGTGGATTCAGCTGTATTCAGCCTCACTTATTTACTTCCCCACCAAAGGGCTAACAGTAATTCAACCTTTTACTTACTCTGTCCACCCTCCCCTTCTAAGTCAACCTGAGCATTTCAGCTCCAACATATGAAATGCTATTTCCCCTAATGCTCCTTCAGCTATTTAAATATTAATTTAAATGGCAGGCCAGCACACAAACAAGGAGTATATCGGCGTAAACTACAGGAGTAAACAACAACGTTTCTAATCGTTCTCTGATGTGTGACATTGGAAATTCTTTGTGACTTTAACATGTCAGAGTGTACGTCCCAAATGGCACCTAGGAGTTAGTGGCGCATTGTGTTACCCCCCCCCCAACCAGTCAGTCAGCCAGCCAGTCAGTCAACCAGTCAGTATGTAAGTAATTCTGTCTGTCTGTCTGTCAGTCAGTCAACCAGTCAGTCAGTCAACCAGTCAGTCAGTCTTTCTGTCTGTCTGTCTCTCCATCACTTCTGTAATCTCCCAGTCTGTCTGTCTGTCTCTGTTGTTCTCTCTGTCTGCTTTGTTGGTCACTGACTCAGCTCTGTGAGACTGTTTTAATGTTTAATGGTAGTCAGTAACTACAGTATCTAGTGTACTGCTGTCTGTACCTGCTAGCTAACATATTCTAGCTACCTGGGACTGCTCCTCTGTTGATTGGCTAAACTCAGGGTCTAAAACAACTGGATCATCCACTGGACACTATGGACCTATAGTCAATGAGGAAAATCACACAACAGAACTCTAAGGATGTCCTAAGTGACAGATAATAGTGGTAATTCATTCAATAAAGATGTTATACAGGTTAATTGTTCCTTCATTGTTCCAGCAGCAGCAAAATAGGATTCCGAGACCGGATGCGGATGAACAACTCTCGTTCGTCCCAGGCGATCCGGAACAAGGCATCCCCTCTGCCTCCCGGGACGAGTTTCCGCCAGTCGCCCAGCACGGAGAACGTCCCAGAAGCCACCAGTCCCGGGAAGGTGCAGAAGAGCTGGAGCTTCAACGACCGCACGCGGTTCCGCACCTCCCTACGACTCAAACCCAGACCTCCTGCAGACGGTGGGAACTTTACTCACTCTCACGCGCATGCATATATACAGTATATACACATACAGCGGGGTCTGAAATGATTGACACCCCCTTGATAAAGATGAGCAAAAATGTCTATGAAAAATTTGGGAAATTCAATTATTTTAGACAAATACAACTGCTTAGACAAAGAGATTTAGTTTAACAAGCAGTACTTTTTTTTCTCAAAAGGGTAGGGGTCAAAATTGATACCCCTGTTTTCAATACCTTGCAAGGATAAAGGCACTGATATCCTTAGTCTGAGCTTATGGACAGCCCTCTTCAATATAAACCACAGGTTTTCAATGGGTTTCAAGTCCGGAGACGGAGATGGCCATTGCAAATTGTTGATTTTGTGGCCAATTAACCATTTCTTTGTGGATTTTGATGTGTTCTTGGGGTTAGTGTCTTGCTGGAAGATCCACTTGCACAACCACAAATGTAAATGCCTGGAGTTTGCTGAACAGCATTGGCACTTGGATTGGAACCAGGTGCTTTGGTCAGATGACATGAAAATATAACTCTTTGGCCACGCATACCAGTGGTCGGTTTGCCATCGAAATGAGAATGCATGAGCAGAAAATAACCCCGTACCTACTGTAAAATATGGTGATGGATCTTTGATGTTATGGGGCTATTTTGCTTCTACTGGTCCTGGGGCCTTTGTTAAGGTCAACCGCATCATCATGAACTTTACCCAGTACCAGGACATTTTACCCAAAAACATGGTTGCCTCTGCCAGGAGGCTGAAACTTGGCCACAAGTGGATCTTCCAGCAAGACAACCCCAAGCACACATCAAAATCCACAAATAAATTGGCCACAAAATCAACATTTTGAAATGGCCATCTCAGCCTCCAGACTTGAAACCCATTGAATAATATGCCATTTAGCAGACGCTTTTATCCAAAGCGACTTACAGTTGTGCGTGCATAATTTTTTTTTGTGTGTATGGGTGGTCCCGGGGATCGAACCCACTACCTTGGCGTTACAAGCGCCGTGCTCTACCAGCTGAGCTACAGAGGACCACAGGAAAACCTGTGCTTTGAATTGAAGAGGGCAGTCATTAAGCGCAGACAAAGGATATCAAGGATCTGGAAGGATTCTGTATGGAGGAATAGTCTAAGATCCCTCCCAATGTGTTCTCCAATCTCATTTTAGAAAAAGTATCCGTGCTGTTATCCTCGCAAGGTGAGGTATTGAAGGTATTGAAAACAGGGGTGTCAATAATGTTGACCTCTACTTTTTTTTAGTTTTACAAAATGTATTTCTCAGAGCAATTGTATTAGTATAAAATAATATAATTAGCAAACAATAAAGCTCAGTATTTTAAATATTTATTTTATAGTAATTTTTGCTAATCTTTATCAAGGGTGTCAATCATTTCAGACCCCACTGTATATACAGTACTTAGGCACATACTCACAGGCACGGTCTCTCTCATGTATATACTTGTACCGTCTATAAAATACTAATTTGTGCGCACACACTCTCACCCTGTTGTTGCCCTGTCCCCTGTTGTTGCCCTGTCCCCTGTTGTTGCCCTGTCCCCTGTTGTTGCCCTGTCCCCTGTTGTTGCCCTGTCCCCTGTTGTTGCCCTGTCCCCTGTTGTTGCCCTGTCCCCTGTTGCTGCCCTGTCCCCTGTTGTTGCCCTGTCCCCTGTTGCTGCCCTTACCCCTGTTGCTGCCCTGTCCCCTGTTGCTGCCCTGTCCCCTGTTGCTGCCCTGTCCCCTGTTGCTGCCCTGTCCCCTGTTGTTGCCCTGTCCCCTGTTGTTGCCCTGTCCCCTGTTGTTGCCCTGTCCCCTGTTGCTGTCCTGTCCCCAGTGGAAGGAGTAGGGGAGGACAGTGTTGAGGACAAACCATATTGTGATGTGGCCATGGAGGAAGTGATCCCAGCAGTGAAGACCTTGATACGGGCTGTCAGGTGAGTCATACAACCTCTCTCACAGCACCCCTACCTGTACCCACAGGGTATCTACTGGTTCACAGAACCCTTACCTGTACCCACAGGGTACCTACTGGCCCACAGCACCCCTATTTGTACCCACAGTGTATCTACTGGCCCACAGCACCCCTACCTGTACCCACAGGGTACCTACTGGCCCACAGCACCCCTATTTGTACCCACAGGGTATCTACTGGCCCACAGCACCCCTACCTGTACCCACAGGGTATCTACTGGCCCACAGCACCCCTGCCTGTACCCACAGGGTACCTACCGGCCCACAGCACCCCTACCTGTACCCACAGGGCACATACTGGCCCACAGCACCCCTACCTGTACCCACAGGTTACCTACTGCCCCACAGCACCCCTACCTGTACCCACAGGTTACCTACTGGCCCACACCACCCCTACCTGTACCCACAGGTTACCTACTGGCCCACAGCACCCCTACCTGTACCCACAGGTTACCTACTGGCCCACAGCACCCCTACCTGTACCCACAAGGTACCTACTGGCCCACAGCACCCCTGCCTGTACCCACAGGTTACCTACTAGCCCACAGCACCCCTACCTGTACCCACAGGGTACATACTGGCCCACAGCACCCCTACCTGTGGAACCAGGTCACCTGTCTCCTCTCTGGTCCTCAAGTCGCCACAGTACTTGGGTCTACAGTACTTCCTGTAATTGTGGCTGTAGTAAGATGAATGCCCAGCTCCTCCAGTGGGCTCTGGCCGTTTGCAGTTTCAGCTGACGGTAGGGAAACGTCCAGTTTAGCATGGTAACTGAGCCTTCCTGCCGCACGCCGGGTTCCCAGCTCTGATCAGCAAAATTGTGATGTGTCCTCACTCAAATTTTTTTGCATAAAGCTTACTTCATATTTTTGATTTAAAAATAAATAATAATCTCACTGCATCAGAGATAGCATACACAAACATTTTGGCTTTACAGCCTTCTTCAGTGTGCTGGTACAACTCGTTTTAATTGAAAACAGCATTTATAGGGAACACAGGTTCTAATCAGGGTTGCCACTCATCTGCCAATCAGGGATGTGGCTTCTCTCGTCTACCTGAATACTTCTCTAGTCTACTGGAATACTTCTCTAGTCTTCCTGAATACTTCTCTAGTCTACCTGAATACTTCTCTAGTCTACCTGAAATCTTCTCTAGTCTACCTGGTTCCTGGCTCTGACCTTGTCTGTCACGTCAGTCAGTCAGGTGCTGGATGCCAGGTGACAGTGGATCCATGTTAGTGATACACTGTACATTTCTGAACTTGAGCACAGCACGCGACAAGAAGTTGCCACCATCACTCCCACTAATTGGACAACTTTTGCAAATGTTTAGTTGTCTGAGTGAGGGAAATGCTGTAAATTAAGAGGATGTTTTTTGAAAGATTAGACGTTGAGGATTATAATAAATACTGCTTTGATGTCATACAAGCAAACACCCGTGAGTCCAAATGGGCACTTCACATTTCCATAGCATAAAACTCATGTCATATACAGTGTCAAGGTTTATGATCACTATGTTTGATGTACAGTTACAAGATGACATGGCGTCATACCCTGGGTTGAGCCTATATTTGTCTGTTGTGAAGAAACTTTGCAACGGAACATGCACCTGAATACACACACACTCATTTTTATGCTCACCAAAATGACGATCTCTAGTTCCCCAACGGCACAGCTAGGAGAGCTCAAAAAAGCATCGTATAGTTGAAGACTTTCAGTCATAAAAGTTCATAGAAATGATTTAGGAACTGTGCACACTTTAGAGAGGTGTGTGGCCACTTGAAGACACCAGTTAGTCCTCTCTGGTTAATTTCCCCATAATCTCCAAACTGTTCTCTTTCAATTGCTACCATGCTTATGCTTTTTATATTTCTTCTGTAAAATACATTTCACTGTAGCCCTATCCATATAGGCCAATTCCCACGAGTGTAAAGGGTTAAAAGCAGAGTGTAGTGTGTATGCTGAAGTATAAACACCTTTCTATGCCCATGAGAAAGCAATATTGGAAAAACTATAACCCACTGGACACACACTGGTTGAATTTCAATGAAATTACGGTGAACCAATGTGGAATAGACGTTGAATTGACGTCTGTGCCCAGTGTGAAGGAATAAGGAATCAAGGAAAGAATGGTGTGAGGGAATGAGAGAAACACAGAGCAAAGCTACACACTAAATAACAGGCTCTGTGTTTAAGCATGTCAATATCCTGGAGGACTACCTATATCCCTCTACACACACACACACACACCACACACACACACACACACACACCGCACACTGGTGCATTCACGGACACACACACATACACGCACACACACACACACTGGTGCATACACGCACACACACATACACGCACACACACACACACTGGTGCATACACGCACACACACACACACACACACACGCACACGCCACACTGTGCATCATACACGGGACACACCACCATACACGCACACACACACACACGCACACTGGTGCATACACGGACACACACACATACACGCACACACACACACACACACACGCACACACACACACTGGTGCATACACGGACACACACACATACACGCACACACACGCACACACACACGCACACACGCACACTGGTGCATTCACAGACACGCATACACACACACACGTTTTCCACTGAGGGAGGCAGAAAAAACTATTGCCAGCAAACATCTGTCAGTGAGGCAGGTAGGTTGGTCTGTGGGGATTTGGTGTGAGTGGATTATATTGAATCACTAACATGTCCCTAGGGTATATTATACTGAATCACTACCTGGTCCCTAGGGTATATTACATTGAATCACTACCTGGTCCCTATGGTATATTATGCTGAATCACTACCTGGTCCCTAGGGTATATTATACTGAATCACTACCTGGTCCCTAGGGTATATTATACTGAATCACTACCTGGTCCCTAGGGTATATTATACTGAATCACTACCTGGTCCCTAGGGTATATTATACTGAATCACTACCTGGTCCCTAGGGATATATTATACTGAATCACTACCTGGTCCCTAGGGTATATTATACTGAATCACTACCTGGTCCCTAGGGATATATTAAACTGAATCACTACCTGGTCCCTAGGGTATATTATACTGAATCACTACCTCATTCAACCATACAGACACACAGCATCTTTCATATTGCGTCAGACTGTTTGTGTTTCCATGTATACACTGTGTGTAGTATAGTATGCTGTAGGTGTGAGGGGTTATGTGAGTGCATGTGTTTGTACTGTATGAAAGGGATAGTGGATTGGGACTGGATTCATTTGAGGCTGGGCCCTAGTTAGTACCATGCTTGCACATGAAAGCGTAAACGTTATTACCTTACAAAGATACCAACAGAATCAGCCAGGTAGGACATACTGAACTGTTGTGGCTTTGTGAGTAGTTACTGAATAATATGCTAATCGTTTTTCCCATTGTTACAATTATTTATTTACACATAACTGCCAAAATAAAGGAAACACCAACATAGTGTTTTAATGACAGAATGCTGACTTGCATATTCAGTGCTGACTTGCATATATTTGGTCCAGATCTCAACTTTTCGGTACCGATGCTATCTAAAGTGCTTCTCCATTTCCCCACCTGTAGATAATGATATAGTGCCAACTATGCCCCTATGCCAGGTAGCAGGTAGTAATAGGGGCATACTTCAGGCTGACCATGTATTAATATAACCATAACACGCGATCAAGAGAGACTCAGCACTTTGAAGAACCCCTTTCATTCTTTTTCTTTTTCATTCCTTTCTACTGTTCCTTACCCTTTCTTTAATCCACACCTGAGACCCGCCCTGGCAGAAAAAAATATGCTTCTACCTGCAAATTTAAAAAATACACCCTGCAAAAATCCATCCCAAGTCATCAACAATGCATCACGAGTGCTGTGTGAGGAAGGAAGGAAGGAAGGAGGGAGGAAGGGTGTCGACCACCACCCCTCTTTTCCTACGTTTCCCCTTCTACTGAAGAACAGAAGAGAGAGGGAAGAGAGAGGGAAAGAGAGATGGAGAGAGAGTTTATGTGTCTGCCATCATAACTCTAGAGTTGCAGCACACAGCACTAAACTGCCGTTGCACATGCAAGCTGTTCAGTCGCCACGTTACACCCTTCCTCCTTCCTGTGTGTGCCACAGGGCTGTGATGTGGTGTGTGTGTGTTTCACCAACACGCTGACATTAAAGCGGCCTTAGCCGGTCTGTGTGTGAGAGATAGGGTTTCCTCATAAAACAGCCCCCCTCCTCACCCGCCTCGCCCCCCTTCCACTCTCTACACACTCCAACTTACGGAGCAATCCATCACGGTGTGGGATGACCGGTTAAGTGCTTCTGTTTTGCGATGCTAACATTTGGCGTTTCCTGTATTCTGCCGAGCCAGCACCTTAGGATCCGGGCGAGGGGGGGGGGAGTAGTACAGCCAGCCGCTTCTACTCTCAGTCTCTCCTATAGTGTGACAAGCAGACAAAACTCTGCCCAAAGCAGTACTGTTGTTAGCCTTGACACTATTGTACAGGATGTGCTTGGTCAACACTCTTCAGCCACAACGCACCCTTTACTTCTCTCTAGGAAAGGGCAACTATTGGTGGAGGGAGGATGTGAATAAGATTAGCTTTGTGCACTGGGGAGTCTGAGCATCTGTCTCTGCCTGTGCTGTCCCCCCCCCCCACCACACACACACACACAGCTGTCTCACTGAGAGGAGAGGGGTTAGACTAGACACACACAGGGGTCAACCTCTTGTGGTGTGTGTGTGTGTGTTAGGGAGAGAGCACTAATAGCTGACTTAGCAAAGGGCCAGGGTGTTCAGAAAACCGAGTGTGTCACAAGGTTGTCGATTAGAGATATGTATACAGTAAGTATTCTATACATGGCTCTATGTTTCTCATTGGTAATACAAGAGCAATTTCATTGTCAAAGGTCACAACAAAGAGGAATCCCTGTGGTACTCTCCAGTGGTTTCCTTTTATGAGGCTATTTGTGAATGATATTGGTAAGGTCACTTTGACTGTAAATCCCACTTAATCACACCTATGTAGTTACACTGATGAAGCACAGGACTCGTTTCATGGTTAAACGCTTTTGCAGTATTCACAGATTTCTTTCTGCAGTGTGAGGCACACACTGGCGACACATTCTAGTAGATTTCTACTAATGTTTGTGTGTGTGTGTGTGTGTGTGTGTGTGTGTAGGATTCTGAAGTTCCTGGTGGCCAAGAGGAAGTTTAAGGAGACTCTGCGTCCGTACGACGTGAAGGACGTCATAGAGCAGTACTCTGCTGGACACCTGGACATGCTGGGGAGGATCAAGAGTCTACAAACCAGGTACACACACATACATACACAGCCTACAACAGTTGGAAACACAGTGGATTCATACCCCACACACTCCATCACCAGTACTAACCATACCACACCAGTAAATGAACCATTTTGATAGATGGTTGTTGATTGTTGTGTGTTGTCCTGGTCCTCCCCAGAGTGGATCAGATAGTGGGTCGTGGATCGTCCTACCAGCCGGATAATAAGAAGGTGAGGAGTGAGAAGGGAGAGAAGACCCCTCCAGAACTGGACCTTATGGACGAGCTCAGTATGATGGGACGGGTCATTAAGGTGGAGAAACAGGTACAGAGCTCCAGTACGGTAGGACCTCAGCTCATCATCATGTTAACGCACGCCTTCTGCCACACCCACCACCTAAGCCCCATTTTGAGGCAGGAAAAACCCTGATTATCAATGCATGGCTTTCATTATAGAATATTAACCCAATGTAATATAGGGGTGATGTGACTGCATGATCGCTCAGGTGCTTAGACAGTATACTTCTGAGTGAAGGTGGGTGGGAAACACTTCATTTACATTACAGACCTGTTTCAAATGGTATTTGCCTGGTGATTAATTATTTAGGTCATTCTTTGGTAATTACTATGTAATGACCTTTTCATATAGTTTGTTAGAAAATACCAGGTAAATGATAGACGTTTTTATTTTTACAGTCTATCTGACCTTATTATTCCATTGTGTATATTAGTACAAAACATAGCTAGTACTAATAACATAGTTGAACATTACATTTTTGTGACTTACGTTTATCTTGTGATTCTTGTATAGCGTTTTTATCTTGTTGTTTCGTCGGTGTGTACAGGTGCAGTCGATAGAGAACAAGCTGGACCTCCTTCTTAACTTCTACACACAGTGTCTGAAGAAAGGCTCGTCCAACTTCACCCTGTCCTCCCTGTTAGAACCAGACCTGACGTCAGACTACCACAGCCCCACGGACCACCGCGACCTCTTCCCCTCTGCCAACACACTCAACATCTCCCACTCAGATTCCAGCAATATGGAGTGACTGGTAGTGTACTCACTGACTGGGGCTGAGGCTGGGGCTGGGGCGGGTATGAACTGGGCCCACCGCTAGACCCTCACCTCAATGTATTTAAGTCCTGAGATGTCATGTCACCATACTGGACTGTAGCAGCACCCCCGGAGCAACCCTCTATGCACATATCTCTTTGAAGTTGTAACCATTGACCTTTCCACTGATCACCAAACCAATTTGATTCCTAACATAGAATCCTCTCCCTAGGAATTCACACTCCACACCTTAGAACCCACACTTCTTAGTTTAGACTGGTCTTCAAAATCCTTCCTCCCTCCACATCTTTAAAATCCTCTGCTCCAAATGTTAGAGCCACCACTAGTGGAGGATTCATCATACTATCCTCTCTCTATTGTAGTGCTGAGCGATTAACCGAAATGGTGGTTATTTCTCATCAGCGTCGGTTCAATTATTTGAATTCCATTTAGTTCAGTTTTTTTCAGTGAGCTCAATGTGCACATTATGTAGTTTCTCTAGAGATGAATCAGATTGCCCAAACTGTGCGATGTAGTAGGGAGTTGTAGTTTCCAACAGGCCAATGGACTACAAGGTGTCGAAAGTGTTCCACAGGGATGCTGGCCCATGTTGACTCCAATGCTTCGGTCAATCTGGAGGCGAAAGAAACGCACACCTGTTTAGGAGAGGTGCTGGCTAGCAGAGTAGAACACCTGTTTAGGAGAGGTGCTGGCTAGCGGAGTAGAACACCTGTTTAGGAGAGGTGCTGGCTAGCGGAGTAGAACACCTGTTTTTAGGAGAGGTGCTGGCTAGCGGATTAGAACACCTGTTTAGGAGAGGTGCTGGGTAACGGAGTAGAACACCTGTTTAGGAGAGGTGCTGGCTAGCAGAGTAGAACACCTGTTTAGGATAGGTGCTGGCTAGCAGAGTAGAACACCTGTTTAGGAGAGGTGCTGGCTAGCGGAGTAGAACACCTGTTTAGGAGAGGTGCTGGCTAGCGGAGTAGAACACCTGTTTAGGAGAGGTGCTGGCTAGCGGATTAGAACACCTGTTTAGGAGAGGTGCTGGCTAGCGGAGTAGAACACCTTTTAGAAAGTGCTGGCTAGCGGAGAGACCACACTGTTTAGGAAGGCTGGCTCGGATTAGAACACCTGTTTAGGAGAGGGCTGGGTAACGGAGTAGACATTAGAACTAAGTAGAACACCTGTTTAGGAGAGGTGCTGCTAGCGGAGTAGAACACCTGTTAGGAAGTGCTGGCTAGCGGAGTAGAAACTGTTTAGGGAGGTGCTGGCTAGCGGAGTAAACACCTGTTTTAGAGAGGTGTGCGCTACGGGGATTAGAAACCTGTTGAGAGGTGCTGCTACGATAGAACACTGTTAGCGAGTGCCAAGCTGAGTAAACACCGTTTACGCGAGGTGCTGCTACGGAGTAGAACACTGTTACTTCGCACAGTTGTCAAGTTGGCTACGGAGTTAGAACCCTGTTAGGAGGGTGTGGAGAGTAAACACCGTTAGGATAAGGTGCGGCTACAGAGTAGAACACTTTTAGGAAGTGCTGGCTACGGAGTAACCCTGTTTAGAAGGTGCGGTGCGGCATGACACCTTTAGAAGGTGCGGCTACGGAGTAGAACCCTGTTAGAAGGTGGCTGCATTAGAACTGTTTGGGGTGCTGCAGCAGTTACCCTTTGAAGTGGCGCACGATACACCCTTAGAAGGTCTGGCTAGCGGATTGTATAACACTTAAAGAAAAGAGAGGTCACACGCAATCATTTATAACCACGTTTCACACCGCGTCTTCATTACATTTTGTCATTGAGAGCTCTTACAGAGCGACTCAGCAATTAGGGTAAGTGCTTTCAGCACCGCAGATTTCACCTAGTCGATCGGATTAGACCAGCGACCTTTCGGTTACTGGCACAACGCTCTTAACCACTAAGCTACCTCCCGCCCCATCAGGGTAAAGCTCCAATACTTCCCACAGTTGTCAAGTTGGCTGGATTTCCTTTGGGTGGTGGACCATTCTTGATACACGTGGGAAACTGTTAAACTCTTGACACACTCAAACCGGTGCGCCTGCACCTACTATCATACCCCGTTCAAAGGCGCTTAAATCTTTTGCCTTGCCCATTCACCCTCTGAATGGCACACATACACAATCCATGTCTCAATTGTCTCAAGACTTAGAAATCCTTCTTTAACCTGTCTCCTCCCCTTCATCTACACTGATTGAAGTGGATTTAACAGGAGACATCAATAAGGGATCATAGCTTTCACCTGGATTCACCTGGTCAGTCTACGTCATGGAAAGAGCAGGTGTTCCTACTTTAAAAAACTACTAAAATAATGATTTTATCAGACAGCATAGGCAGCAGCTCTATAGAGATGAGCTGATGACTTGGAATGAAATAATAGTCATCAAATTAAACACATTTAATTTACACAACTGATGGTAAATAAGTGATAAATTATGGTTATAAGTGATAAGCAGTAATGGGCAGTCACTACCATCATGGTACTTTTATTAATTGTTTTATTCTGTATTGGTATAGCATTCAACCCACATAATGCATAGTGTATTTCATGTTTTAAAAAATTATCGAAATCGAAAACCATGATTATTTTTTAATAATCGAGCCGAAACCGACCAACCTCAAAAAGTACTAATCGCTCAGCACTACTCTATTTCCAAACCAGCACCCATCAACCATTACCACCCCTCACCTCTGTTTTCACCCACACCTTCCTCCCATCATCCCCTTCTCCTCCATGTTCTCTCCATTCTCATCTCGCCATGATAGTCCTAACCAACCCTAACCCATCCTCAAGCGAACATTGCCAGTGGCAATGGCCACAAGAGGGAACCTAGACACTGGCCACCAGAGGGAACCTAGACACTGGTCACCAGAGAGAACATGGACACTGGCCACCAGAGAGAACATGGACACTGGCCACCAGAGAGAACATAGACACTGGCCACCAGAGAGAACATGGACACTGGCCACCAGAGAGAACATAGACACTGGCCACCAGAGTGAACATGGACACTGGCCACCAGAGAGAACATAGACACTGGCCACCAGAGAGAACATAGACACTGGCCACCAGAGAGAACATAGACACTGGCCACCAGAGAGAACATAGACACTGGCCACCAGAGAGAACATAGACACTGGCCACCAGAGAGAACATAGACACTGGCCACCAGAGAGAACATGGACACTGGCCACCAGAGAGAACATGGACACTGGCCACCAGAGAGAACATGGACACTGGCCACCAGAGGGAGCATAGACACTGGCCACCAGAGGGAACATGGACACTGGCCACCAGAGGGAACATGGACAATGGCCACCAGAGGGATCATGGACACTGGCCACCAGAGGGAGCATAGACACTGGCCACCAGAGGGAACATGGACACTGGCCACCAGAGGGAGCATGGACAATGGCCACCAGAGGGATCATGGACACAGGCCACCAGAGGGAACATGGACACTGGCCACCAGAGGGATCATGGACACTGGCCACCAGAGGGAACATGGACACTGGCCACCAGAGGGAACATGGCAGCTGGCCACCAGAGGGTGCCATCTGAGCAGATTCCTGACCGAATCTGCTCTCCGCACACCTCTCTGTCTCAGTCCCTCTGTGGTAAAAGAAGAAGAAAAGAGAGCGAACAACTACTACTTGACAACAAAACCAGTTTCACTCACCAACGACGTAAAACATACTGTATCTATCTATGCCTGTTCCTAAACCTGCAACTGTAGATATAAACTTTTAACAAAGTTGGGGGTTTTGTAAATGTTTTACCAGATTCTGTGTTCCGGTATCAGTAATATTTTTTTCTTCTCCTGCTTTATTTGTTTATTTATTTGTAATCGGTAGACTTCCAGATGAACGAGTGAAGAACTGCTGCAGCTCTCCAACATTCAGGACATTAGCTTTGTTTTAGTGTCATTTCAGTTCTAGTTTGTCAGCCTCTGATCTGTTGCTATAGGAGATGGACTGTCTCTGAACTTCTGATGAATGTACTGTGTGCCCAGGGTCTTTGCTGTCCCCTCCTCACCTCTCGTCTCCACTATACTGACCACAGCTCAACTCAACTCTCTTTCCAAGGCACTGCAAAGACTTCATGTCCCCCTCTACTCCACTGTGGGGCTACCCAGACCCCAAAATCGATGACTCAACGTGGATGGAAAGACGAAACCCACAGCCATATCACCAAAACATCAGCTCTCTCACCTTTCCCTCCTGTCCAGGTTGTTACATGGCACTCGTTCTTCCCTCGTCCTCATTAGCAGTATGTTGTCCTGAAAAGAAAGGGACTGACTAGGTTACGACAAGAGAGGAACTCAGGCTTCACATGTATGTGACACTTGTTTCATCCCTCATTGAAGTACGTCAATGCCCCTCTGACACAGTCCCCCAACTCATGATTCTCTCTGTAATTAAATGATAGGGAGAAACAGACTGACAAGTAGGAAGGCTCTTTATTTTCACAATCTGACTTCTGGAATGGGCACTCTCTCTCTTTCTCTCTCTAGCATTCCCTCATGGCATTCGCAAGAGACTTTATACACTTCTTCACACAGGGTCAGGTTAACAGGGATATTGTATGTTTTCTACCCGTTGATCCCTTTAAAAACCTCTCTCTTGAAGCCCACCGCTCAGACATGCATGCTCCTCAGACCAGACCAAAGGGTAAGACAACACTGATCCCTGGTCAGATTGTAGAGGGTTGTGTCCCTCTCTCTGTATCAATACTCCTCCGTTCTCATCAGTCTTTGTTGCACAGTATCTCACTCCTGTGTTTCATGTCAGCTGGTTTAGGCCGGCCAATCAGCTCATGTCTATGATGAGATGTATTCCAAACCAATCAACTATCACACATTCGTAGGCTACGTTCCAAACATCGACACTAGCATACTACTTAGAATGCATGCACCAACCATAATAGCTTCAAAGCAGTGTGCTAGTGTGGATGTTGGACCAAAGCCTTAGTTTCTCTCATTGG